GTTTCATGTCTGATACTCTGGCGCCAGACTGAGGACAAACCGAGGAAGTACAACAAACCGTGTCTGCATCAGAATAGTAGTAGTATTAGTATTAGTATTAGTATTAGTATTAGTAGTAGTAGTAGTAGTAGTAGTAGTAGTAGTATTAGTAGTAGTAGTAGTAGTTTATTCGATAAGTGTCTCGATGTCAGGGTCTCGATCAGTGGGACAACACCCAGGTCGATCATTTAATTAATTTTCCTCCACAGGCAAAACAGCAGCGAGCAGGATTCCAGCCGAACAGCAGGCCAAGAGGCTCATCAACCAGCTGGTAACTGTTAGGTTACAGCATGGCCGTGTGAAAATAAAGCTGGAAACTTCAAGCTCTAAAGAGAACACACACCCAGGGCGGATCAACCAGGAAACAGTGGAGAGGAGGCTAAACTGACCAACAGCTGTTATCAACAGCAAAAGGAGGGAGACGTCATAACGCATGCAGTCTCCGACTAACAGATGAAGACGAGCTTTTATACAGCAGCTGAAATTGACGACGTTAAAGTGACAGTGTATCATTTATGCTGCTACATATATATAGCCTATATAAACACCTTGAAATTGGTCTCTTTAAGAACCTCCTACTGTTTCTGACATTCCCACTTCAGCAGGTCATTAATGCTTCCGGGGAGGGGGACTCTGTGGGGCGGGAGCTCAGCTGCGGACCGAGTTCCAGGGAGGAGCTTTGTCCAAATAGGCGGTGCTCTGTACCAGCAAGTGTTTAGGCAGTTCCTGAAAACCCGGCTGTAAAACTAAGACTAAAATGTTGCTCTATATGTTTTTGCAGGAGCTCACTGATAGTGAATGTAAAATTAAGCTTCCAGTAAAATACTGGCAACTACAGATGCCAGTATTTTACTTTATATTTAGTTAACACTGTATTTACTTTAACAAAATACTACTTTAAAAACTAATCATTGAAAATATTACTTGCAGCTGTACAGTATTTACATTAACAATATTGTCAGAACAAAATATGTTTTTTCAATTAATGTATGTGTGCATGCATTTTTTTAATGATTCATCCATAAAAGAGTTTTTGCAGTTATGAAGTTAAGTTGGAAGTTTGAAAGACTAAAACACAGAATTGATCAGAAAAGCAAATCAATCCCCCTTTTTAACTGCACTGTGATGGACTTATGACCTGTCCAGGGAGTACCCCACCTCTCGCACAGTGATGGGGACCTGTGACCCTGAAAGGAAGAAGCAGGTAAAAATAATGGATGTATGGATGGATGGACGATGGATCTGTGGATGGATGGACGTAGAGATGGATGGACGATGGATATATGGATTTTAGTCTTCTTCTTCATTTGGCTTTCCTCTTTTCAGAGGTCGCCATAAAAGCCATCCTCCTCCATCTCACTCTGTCCCCTACATCCTCGGTCCTCACTCCAACTACATCCATGTCCAACAGTCTCCATGTCTCTCTACATCTATACCTCTTTCTAGCAGCTGCATCACTAACATCCTTCCAAAACCCACTGTCCCTCCTCTGGACATGCTCAAGACACCTTTAAAGACTTGATTCCTAATATTATCCTTTCTTGTCACACCCAAGGAGAACATCAGCATCTTCCGTTCTGACACTTCCACTTCTGTCTTCTTGTCAACACCACCGTCTCCAAAGCACAGCTGCTGGTCTCACTCCTTTGACCTGTCATGCCACTTTGTCACAATTTATCAAAATTATCCAGTTGATTAAAAACTTGTCTTGCAGATGGCTTATTTATTTATTTGTTTGTTTGTCTGTATATTTTTGCACAAAGCCCCAAGGAATTAATATCCCTAAAATTGAAGTCATTTTTTCCACTTTATTTTAAGTATACAGATCTTTCAGGCTTATTTATGTACAGCAGAACGTTTTACAGTAGCTTTCAACGTGTCCCAGTAGCTTTCAAACCCCAAAACACATTACGGCAAAGGCTGGTTCACCCCAAAGATCCGGTGCCCCGGCACAAACAGAGCAATATTGTATATGCTGTTAAGTGCCAGGAGGACTGCGACCAGTTATACATCGGGGAAACCAAGGGCGTAACTTTAGGTCTAACAT